CAGAATACCCGACAAAGGGTGAGGAAGACATCGACGGCTTGTTCAAAATGGATTGGACTAATCTGAATGTTTGCATGCATGTTCATGAGTTGCAAACAAGGTCCATCCTTTTTAAAATAAATGTGCATTTAATACTTTCTTCCTCCTCTGCAGCTTCGCTCGTACAGCAGATATGAGCTGCTAAACGACGCGCTCGAGGACGATATAAGCGAGGCTCGCTTCAGGAAGCAGAAGGAGATGGAGAGAAGGGTGAGTTTAAACAACTCTAAACTCTAAAGCTGTCGACTTAAACAAATTAGAAACATTAGAACATTTCAGATCTGTCCAACTTTTTGTGCATCTAGTTTGAAGCTTTATTTTTTTGTTCCCTGACTACCACGTTTTTAATGTCAAAGAGTTAAAATCAGAGAACTCGCAGAGTTAAAAGGGTAATTTGGGCTAATAAAAAATGCCAATTTACAGAAATGTGTAAAGATTTTAGGCAGTAAAAGTAAAACGAGGATACTTTCAGATACATTTATTTTTTATCAGATAGAGTACCAGATACAAGCTTCCCTTTAAAGATACTCGAAGGATGTGTCTTGATGCATTCTAAGTAATACAGATAATGAAATCTCAGGAAGCTGATTCTGTTCATCTGGACGCAGAGTTTTAGGAGGGAGAAATGTTTCAGACTGAAGTCCCTGATATGAGTGACAAATATGTCTTCCTCCTAGAACTCTGCGTCCAGATGAACAGAATCAAGTACAAGATACAAGTTGTTACAAAGAAACAACATTAAATATGAAGGAGAAGTGTAAAAACTCCTCAGCAGGCAGAGCTGAAGGCAGAGAGGAGACACAGAGACAGCCAGTGGGGGAAAAACTATTTTTGTCAATGTCAGTTTTATTTTACAGCACATTTAAAACAATAAGGGGGGTTTTAACCAGCTCCAAAGGAAAGCTCGGCAGTGACCAAACATTATCCAAATATAATTTTTTTATCTTTTCCAGCCAATTTTGTAAATTGTGGTTTTATTTAATCATAACTGGTACTTTTATTTTTTTTAATCAAATGCTCAAATGCATAGCCAAACCCTGCAGAAAGGGATCTTTGCATTGAGAGAAACTTCAGAGAGCTTATTTAATATGTCCTGGTGCTGAGTTTAAAAGTGATTGAACCTCTTGAAAGTGTAACAAAGGGGTTTAACAGACAGTCAGAGGACTCTCCATCCAGCACCAGAATCATTTCAGGACCCATTAGATCCCTCCATCCTTGTGTTTTGCTGTGGATAAGAATCAATACTAAAGTGCTTTGTTCAGTTGTTGGGTGTGACTTCCTGCAAAGTCCTTCTTTAAACTCTGTTATGCTTCTCTTACAGATGAGCCACTACCTCACGGTCCCTGCAAACCGCCAGGAGACGCCCCCTGTGAGAAAAGTATTTTTTCAACCAGGTCAGTCTAAGAGCCAGTTTAAAGCACGATTTTATGAGAATGAAAATTATGTTCCGGCTTTAAAGTCACTCATTGTTTTGAGTTTTGTGCTGCTGGATTCTTTTGGAGCATTTGAGCAGCTGTGTCCTGCTGTCGGATGCAGCCCTGGAAGTCTGTGCATCAATACAATACTTTTCTTTTCCACACGGGATATGTCCTGTACAATGATGCAAATATTTTGCATTAAACAGAATGAGTCTTATGGGGATCGATAAAAGGATACCTTTTGTCTTCCACTGTGTCTGCCCTGGATCTTTTCTAATCATATTATCCTGTGTTGGGTATCATATTTAGCTACAAGACTGGCTTAGGATTTTAAAATGGAATAACCAGATTATTATAAACATTTACACCCAGAGGAAAATTAGATTAAGTGGATGAGGTTGCACATTTTAATAACTGTACAAATGTGCGATATTTACCTGTGATTTCTGTTTAATTCTGTTTAATAATGAGGTTATTTTTCCAAAATTAATTTAAATAATATTTCCACCCACATCAGTAAAAGCCTAAAAGTGTCCATAAATAATATTTTAACATTTTCATTAATAGTAAAGATTAATAAGTGTGTCATTTATAAATAGAAGCAAAGGACGATATAAACTATTAAAAGTAAAAATCTGTTTATTTATTTTTTTGTTCTTTTCACTGCAATATTTTTTCTTTTGAATCCTTTCCTATCCTAAAACAATAGTTTCTATATGTAAGTGAATATGCATGCTCTAAATTATTTTAAAATATAACTGGTGCTGGTGTTCCTAATTAACCAAATCTAAAGGTGTTTGCAGAAGGTGTTAAACTGTTAATGAGCCCCTGCCTTTATTCTCCAGAGCACAAAGTGTACACCTACGATGACAGCGAGAGTCCCCGAGGGCGGGCTTCTCCCAGCTGTGCTGATGATGTCAGCGAGCTGAAGGAGACCCCTGAGAAGCCCGATCAGAGCAGCACGCCGAGGGCCAACAGGGACGCCGAGCTGAAGCCAAAAGAGCAGGACGACCAGGGGGATCAGCTGAAAGTATCACGCTGCCTCAGTGACCCCGGTCCAAACCCGGAGGATGATGAGGACAGCACCTTCCTGCCATGAGTGAAGCACATTTTACAGGAAAGGCCTGAAGACAAGAGAGCTTTAGCAAAGCTTAATATTTATCATTTAAATTGTTGTATGTTTGTGATGTAGGATTATGCAATCTTCGTTCCATACGTTCATAACATGTTTTTTTTATCATGCAACATGCAGAATTGCCAAAGCGTGCTGCAGGGGACATTTCTTATTTGAAGTTTTTATACCCGCCTGAAGTTTCAGCATTTTGAATTTTAACATGCGCCTCAAGCCAAAGCATTTGTTTCAATGAGCTTGAAGCACCAGACGGGTGGAGTCTCCTGCCCTGAAAGCACAGATAAGAAACATAATGAGGTAAAGCCCGGCTGATAAACGCCGTTGGCTGCCAGTGTTTGTCTGTCTGGGGTATTTATCACAGACTGAAACATCTAAACAACCTTTTGATGGGTTGCCATGACGTTTTGTTCATCTATGGTGCCCAGAGGATGAATCCTCACAACTTAAAGCCGTCATGGATTACCATGAAGTAATGACAGGGGAACTAGAGCTCACATTTTTCCTATATCGACTTCCCTTCATGGGCTCCCTGTTGAATCCAGAACTGGATTTAAAGTATTTCTCTTCACATACAGTTCCCAAAATAAGACCTCATAGTATCATATTATCTTGTCAGAGCTCATTGCTCTCAAACTGCAGGGTTACTTGTGGTTTCTAAAAGTAGAATCAGAAGCTTAGATTGGATTAGACTCAACTTTCCTGATAGAGCTTATAGTTTGGGCTGGATCAGGTGAGGCTGAACCATCTCTTAGATATGCTGCTATAGAGTCAGGCTGCTGGGGGTCTTCCCATGATGCACTGAGCACTTCTTTTTCACTCACCTCATGTCACTCCACATGTGTTTAGAAGCCATTGTTGCATGTCATTTTCTCTTCCACAGTTTGTGTTTTGTCCAGTCTCACCGTGCAGATAGCTGCTCCTCCCTGAACCTGGTTCACGTGGAGTTTCTCCTCCGGACTGCTGGTCAATGTGAGAGCAGCACTTATTATAAAAACAAGCTATATCCAAACATGAGACTGAAGTAAAACATCCAAAACTAATGTTTTCATGACTTACTCAGTATTTTCAGTGTACATTCAAACTCAGACATATAGACTGTTTTGATTTCAATCAAACAGGACGATTAAACATACTCCATAATAGTCTCTATAAAGACCCACATTCACCTCTCTTTAAGTCTAAAGGAAGTATTCTGAAAATGTTTAGCTGAGCTATAGCTTTGAGTTTTAATAAGCCTAAGCCAAAAGTCCAAAAAAAGATCCCCCTCATGATCACTTTGCTAAAACATAATTGCCAGGCTACAGAGGTTGAAAACTGCACAGTCAGCCAGATCTGTTCTGCTCTACACGCATCAACCTAAGCGCTATAATCAGGTTTATTATGTGGCACAGTGTGTGGCCTTAAAAGTTCCGCTTTGACATATCTTAGCCAAATTTCTCTAATTGAGAAAAACTGCTATCAAAACAGATTATTTTGCTTTAAAAAAAACAATCTGTATTGTTCCCGAGTCACACTCACATCAGCCTTTACAAAATTCCGGCATCAGATGCATAAATGTTGTATTGTAAATATGTTCGCGATGCTTGAAGTTTCATGTTGGTAACGAAAAGACCGATCTGATGATCAAAGGCCATTGACGAGCTTAAAATTAAAAAACGAGCTGCAGATATTTGTGGACAAGCTTAGCACTGTGTTTATCTCCACAGCTGTCGCTGCATGTCTGATCAGTGTTTTCTCAGGGAATTCAACAGACGGTGTGTTTGTATGACTAATACGTGCTCCACAGTTTATAATGTGCCTGTTTTTGTACGCTAAAGTGTTTTCAGCTCTTGTCAAACCAAACAAGGTATTGGTGATGTTTCCACGTTTTGTAAACAAAGCTCTTTTTGTGTGTGTGTGTGTGTGTGTGTTCCTGTTAACTGAGCATGCTCCAAGACCTGTCAGTGTTTAAGAGACTGGACTGCCTGAGCTTTTGCTGCCTGCACACATTTGCCTTATAAGTGTTTTTGCTTTTTATGCTTTTACCAGTTGTAATGTTCTTTATAATACATATTGTTATATGTTTATTTTGCAAAAATAAAAAAATTGTTGAAATCATAAGGGGAAGCTTTAATTCCTGTCTTTAAAAAAAGTTTCTTACTGCTGATTTTGTTTGATTCAAACTGTGCAGGTAGTAGAAGGAGTCAAAAAAAGGTGGAGCAGACTCTACCTGTGTCGCTGCCTGGCTGCGAGAATACTTTAAAGATGTCAGGATTAAAAAGGACATACTGTAATAAGGACTAATGGATGAGTTCAGGCTACTGAGGCCCCTCAGTGGAAAGACAATTAAAGAAATAACAGGGAGTTTGAAATCCCCAGCGTGCCAACCAGCAGCGTGTGATGAGACTGTGACAACATCCTCTGCAGCAAACATGAACTTCAACGGCACCTGGAAAGTTTATTCTGAGGAAAACCTTGAGGAGTTTCTCAAATCCATAGGTAAGATATTTTAAAAACTAAAGGATTATTTATTTCCTGAATATATTAAATGTTTTTTTTGTATTTATACTTTCCAGGTGCACCTCAAATGATTATTAAAATGCGTAAGGAAGTGAAACCGGTGATCATCATAGAGCAGAACGGCAAAGACTTCACCTGCACCGTGAAGACTCCAGCCTGCACCAAAGTCCACTCGTTCAGCCTGGGAAAAGAGTCAGAAATAACAACTGTGGATGGAAGGAAGTTTAAGGTAGTTCAGGGACCTCATGCTCAACACATTTGAGTTTTTAGAGTTTTGTGAATTTTAAATTAATATTGGAAGGAGCAGTGCAGAAATGAATGATGTGATTTATGCAGGCACAGTAAGCAGGAGACGTATCTCTGCTATTTATTTACCTTTTAATATTTAATTGTTATTGACTACAACAATGATTTTGTTCCTGGTTAGTGCATTGTCAGAGAGGAGAACGGGAAGCTGATAGCTGAAAATGACAAGTTTACCTCAGTCAGAGAGATTCAAGGGGATGAAATGATTGAGGTGGGTGGCTCTAATTCTTCTTAAAACTGCTATGAATGTGAATCATCCACGTTCTCCTAATGTGTCTGCTTACTGTTTATATCTAGACTATCACTGCTGGCTCTATAACCTTCACCAGCAGGAGCAAACGTGTCTGACCGGCCAGCTCATGGATCCCTCTCAGAATTCCTCATCTGAAGATGAACGGAGTTAACTTATAACTAAATAAATAAAGCTGAAGTTAATAAAATAAAATGTGCAAACACTATAAAACTCGTATCGTTATTTACTGTAAGGCAGTATTCTGATTGTAGAGGGCGCTGTGGGGATTTTTAAGTGCACGCTTTCGTGTAAACGAAGAAGAAGCAGGAAGGCGCCTTTTGAGTGCGCATGCGTTGCTAATTTTTCCCCCTTCGCAGCCTTTCGTTTTCCCTCTAAAAGAAAACATCCTTCTGCTACGTGAGTGTAACTTTATGGCCAGATACATGAGGCCTCCAAACACGTCTTTGTTTGTCAGGAACATCTCTGATGAGTCCAGGTGAGTCCTCGTAAAGAAGCCGCTACTCGTCTACGAGTTAACTCGTGTTAATTGTAGCTAGTTAAGTTAGCCTGGTAGGCAAGGTAGGCCTCAACGTGCAAACTGAAAGGGTAACGCTGACCGGGAGCAGCGCCGCATTTCAAATCTACGTTACGTTATATTGGCCATATATGTCTTTGTTGTGGTTTTATAAACATTGTTAACGTCTGTGTTGCTCTTTAGACGCGAACTTTTTCATGTTTACAGTCAAGCTATCAAAGCTAACTGGCTAACGAAAGCTGGTAAACAGCTCCGTGAAACTTTGAAAGATTTTAAAGGAGGCAAGAAACCCTACAATGTGGATTTAATATGAAGGGGCAAAAATTAATGGCCTCGGCTAACGTTAACCTAATGTTTGTTGGCCGTTATCAATTTTAAACACGCGTGGTTAATTGATTAGTTACAATCTGAGGTCTGTTTGCTGATTTAAGTTTGTATATTTAAATGTGATTAGCACAGAAATTCTCATTTAAACTGCCAAAATACTGACCTCAGAATACACGATCGCAAATGAAAGCTCGTTTTAATTTTGTATGTGTAGCTTGTGAATTAATCTGTACCTGTAATGGTTTCCTCATGTATTTGTTATTATCATATTTCATTGTTGTTGTTATATCTAGGTTTAGTCTCAGTGTTAATGTAATCTGACAACACAGGGTTGGTTTAACTTGGTTTTAAAAATACTAAACTTGCTAGATGTGTTAATAACTAGTTAAAGTTTTGCACTAGTATTTAAAAGCAGAGTGAAATGGGTAAATCGATCAGAAATCATCAACATTTTGTTCTCAATCATCTTAGAATTGCCCAAAAAATGTATGGTCCAAAGTTTGGGCATATGCAATGATTGCTGTGATGTTTTAACGCATATATTGAAAATTAAAGGTCAGTCCAACCACTTTCAGGCTTTATAAACACATTGCAATCTGAGGCAATATTTTAAACATGAACATCTCCAAAACTATTAACAACACAAACCAAAATAAGTATCACTGACCTCTTTCACAACTGATTAACTCTGTTTGACATGGATGTTGAAGCTGATTTTAATCTCACTGACACTGTGACCTGAACTTAATTTCCTTAATTTCTTCAATTTTACATTTGCATCTGTGGACGGCCTTGTAACTGTTTATGTGTCAGTGCTACACCAATGACATTAACATGAATTGCATGTTAATATTAAAAAGTGTGGATATTTTAAAGGGATAGTTCACCTGAAGAGTGTGGCAAACTGTGAGGAGCTTTTTTGCCCCTATTTTCTAAACATTTCCCAGATTATTTTACTAAAGATTTTTTTTATTTGTTTAAACGCAGAAAAAAAACAATGGACTACTAGAATCAGAATCAGAATGGGGTTTATTGCCAGATGTTGAGGTTTACAACATTAGGAAATTGCTGCGGTGCTTCAGTGCAAACAATAAGAATTAAAGTGCTATGTAGAAAGAAAGATATGTGCATGAGATATACATGAGATATATACATGAGAATAAGACTTATGAGTGCTACGTAGAAAGATATATACATGAGTGAGAAAGATACTAGGCAATGAAACTTCTAAAAATTACAATACCCGTGAGCCTTGGTGGCTTTTGCCTTGGAGAAAAGACCAGTCGACTAAAAATGCTTTACATACAAGGACAAAATCTTATCTGGACACAAAATAAAAGATTGTTTCTTAACCAAATTAACATTTTTAAGCTTTATGTGCACAAGTTGAGTGTTTTTCATTTTTGCAATGACTGTGCACATATATAGGCCACAAGAAGAGAAAACCAGTTTCCTGTTAATTGAGGTCACTTGATAAAACAGAGGGTATTTTGTACTTGAGTAAATTACATCCACAACATGGTTCAAATGCTTTATATTTTAATGACAGTTTTGGTATATTTTTCTTTCTTTGAAGGTGAGAAGCTCTCTGAGTGACATTAAAAGCATTTGTATGAAGGGAAAACCCTGAAGTTGTATTTGATATATGATCAGGAAGTCTTATATTCAAAGGGGATGGATGGAAAATGGGCTGATTATGTGACCACAATTGAATCATGAGCAAAAAATACAGGCTGTTGATTTCACTGCTCTCTGATATCGGAACTTAATGTACTGTGGGGCAGGTTAGTTACCATCAGCTGGGTTAACGTGAGACACCTTCGTAATACGGAAGTTACCCAAATCCTGCTTTGTCATCCAGGCCTCTCGTTTCTTGGCTGATTAATAAATAAATAGATTTTAAAAATGCCTAAAAGAGCTCCTCAGTGTTTGCCACCTGCTCTGTTTAAAAACAGTCCTGCTGGGATACAAATTGTCTTTGAGCTCTTTTAACAGGTGGATCACCCTCCAGGTAAGAGGAAACAAAATGTACTCTGAGGTGAACTGTCCCTTTATTCAGCAGCTGCTCTTCCAGCTGTTGCCACTGGTTGATGATGTAGGTAGAGATGCCCGTGATGGTCAGTTGAGTTATACTTGTATTTACGGTGTTCAGGCCTGAGGATTTGCGGCGTGAGTTTGGCCGCTATGGGCCGATAGTAGATGTCTACATCCCACTTGACTTCTATACACGTCAGCCAAGAGGATTTGCATACATTCAATATCCTTTCCCAATGACTTTTAACTGTGTATGCTGCTGCTAACAAATTATTTAAATTTCCTTTCGGCAGAGAAGATTTTTATTAATTTATTTTTTGTGATGCATTTTCTTTTTGCACATAATCTGATTGAATATCTAACACGCATATTTCTCTGTTATTGCTTCAGAAAATGTAAACGCGTCCAGTTGTGGAAACCGGCCACAAAGAGTTACAAAGACCCATATAGAGTAGCTGTAAAGACACACAGACCTGCAGGATCAGAGGGAGGGAAAAGGTTGAAAAGAGAAAGTAAAGCATGAAGAGGAAAAAGGGAACGGAGACAAAGCTTGGATTTGGATATGGCGGCAAAGAATGGGGAAAAGAAAAAGAGGTTTAAGAGGAGAAAGCAAGCAGGAAACCCCCGAGTCTCTGTGGGAGTCGGTTAAAGAGTGTAAAGATCAAGATGAAGTTCAAAGTCAAGCATGGGCAAAGGTAACAAGTCTGAATTATTTTGTATCCTCCCATCCACAAATTTGACATGACACCAAAATCAGCTTTCCCTGTGACACTGATGACGATTTAATCCAGTCTTATTGTGTTTGATTTTTATTTTTTTATATATAGTCACTGTCGTGATCCCTCAGACAGTTAGATGATGTGTTTGAGAAGAGCTTGCTTCATCTTTTATCCCTTAAAAAAAAAAAAAAAAAAAGCAGTCAGCTGAGCGTGTTTGTGTTGTTTTCTCACCTGTCTTACAGTAATGTAAACGGTGTCTTTTTATAAATGTTTTTACATGGTAAACTGGGCCTCACAAATTTAACTAAAGTAAACGTTTATGAAGTGCATGGTTATTTTTCTTGAGAAGCCTTTTATTTGTTTAGGAGAAAAAAAACATTTCTTTAAATTTGTGAGGCCTTAAAAAAAGAGAAAGAAACAGAAACCTTAACCACTCAGCATATTTGAGGACGTGCGTGATGCCGAAGATGCTCTTCACAGCCTGGACAGGAAGTGGGTCTGTGGTCGCCAGATTGAAATCCAGTTTGCACAGGGCGACAGGAAGAGTAAGTGTCTGGTTTTTGTGTCTGAATTAGATTCAAACACTTTGAAATATTTTTGCTGTTGGTTTAAATATTAATCTGTGACTTCCAATGATAGAAAAATGTGTGACCAGTTCGGTTTTATCTCTTTAAAAGGAACCCTGATTATTTATTATTTATTAATATTTAGCTGGTGGTCTCCTCCCCATGAAACATGCCGTTTAAAATTAGACCCATTTCCAACAACATGCCGGTACTCTGTTTTCAACATCTGCAGACACTGAATTTATCTGACACCAGTTTAGTATTAGGAAGCTTTCCTCAGTGTGAAGAACAACTGGAAATTATCCTTTTATTTATAAGGAGACATCAGAATCGACTCTAACATTGTCCTGTTAACTTTTCAAAATATAGAAAACAAGCAGATTTACTGAGTAAATTGGTGAGAATGCATAAGTGTTATTCATGCAATTTATCTGCACTGGTCTCATTTCAGCTCAGCTGCTTTGGTTGTTGCATGAGCCAACGGTTACATCAGCACACTGGCTTAAGCTGCTGAGGTGTGCTGCAGTCTCATCTGGAATGATACATGTCGCCACTCAGGCAAAAACAAATAACCTGCATCAGTTCTGTGGCTCCACACATTTATTTAACATGCAAAAGATTCACGGTTTGATGCCAGGAGGAGACAGAAATCCATTTGTGGTCGCATCAGGACAAACGGTATAAAATCTGCTGAATTAAATATGTGGAGCTACCCACTGTGGCGAGTCAGTGTAGTAAAAGCTTCCCAATGAGCCTTACATTAGTACACTCTTGTTCAAGCTGTTAGGCATCATTACCCAGACTGCACTGTGACATAAACAACAGTCACGAACTGAGACTGAAAGGATTCCCCCTTCCCCCTCAACGTTTTAACAACCAAGAAATCTGCAGTATGCGTCGTCATAGTCGGGGTTCCTTTTAAATCACGTTTTCAGATTTGTTAAGTGTTTAAAATTAAGCATCAACCATCATGGTTTTAATTGTTTTCTGCTTTAACCACTTCTTCCTCCTCTTCTTTTTCACCAGCACCA